ACTTTTCAGTTGGATATGTCTCAGCCAGCAACATCCAAACAGAGTAAGTTACTCTGAAAGTGTTTTTTTTTGTGTGTGTGTAAATTGCTTTGTCAATGTGTGAGTATGCAAAACTACATTTTTACATTTCGTTTACATAGTGATGAGGTCTATGATGACATCGGAGATGGTACGTAACAAATTCATTAACATGAACAATATATGAAAATGTAAAATGTTAATTCTCCTACTAGATGGGATGTAATTTAAGATTGGTAGAATGATGGCCATATTAATATCTTTAAAAAAATTGTCTTTACAGACTGTATCTATGACAATGACTGAAGACCTCACACCATCATCATCTCATCTTCTGGTGCAGCTTATTATTTCTGGCCCTGTTTGTGTTCTTGACTGCTGATGTTGAGCGTATTTATTGTATAGAAACATGTATTAGGCTGAAATAAACAGCCTAGTACCATCATGATATCGTAGTTACCTTGCCTCAGTAAAAATAAATGGCATCTTGTCCAAATTGGCCTCCAAATACAGTTTTCCAAGGTATACAGTTACAAATATACAAATACAAATATACAAATACAGTTTACTTTCACTTTCTGTTTCCTGTCATGTATTTGAGAAAACAAGCTGAATCTAATTCTAAGACACATTTTTGTTCCCGAGTGAAAGGCAGTATTTTGTAACAGGTCTCAATTTTCTCATTTACTTATTGTGTTTTTGTAAATATTACACTGCAAAAGACTGAACTGTTTTCATCACTTGCTAATAATAAATGTATACATTTGCACCACTTTTAAATTCAGCATGCTAATTATGTTGACTGAACAATGTTTATATCTATGTTCACTTGATTTATGTAGATTTTCGTAATTAAAATTGTATACATAAATCAAATAATAGTAGGGTAAGATATGCCCACCAGGGCAAGATGACCAAGTTCTTCTTAATTTTGTCATTTCAACTCAATATCAGTCAAGATTTTGTCAGTCAAATCAGTTTTAAGGTTATTTGATCTAATTTTGTGTCTGGAAAATAGTGATCTGTGACATTGTATTATGTTGAATATATCAAAGTTCCCTTATTGAGTTGGCCTCTGGACATTACGTATGGGGAAAACCTTTTCCTCTGAGATGCTGAAGCCTGGGCTGCGTTCAGCCCCGACAAAAACGTT